CATTACCAAAGCATTTTCTAAAAGAGCCGCATTCTTTGCAGTATTAGGGGGACAAGTCATCTGATTAATATAATCATCTTGCTCTTGTCTTATAACCTTATTAAATACCTTCTCATCAACGTTAATTTTTTTGCGATTAAACGTTTTACTCATAGAGTACAATCTAGATTGACAACATAATCCTAATGCAAGAATATAACACCTTGTTGACATTAAAATTTCTCCTATTGGTGGATACTTTGGTGCATTCTTACGAACTGTGGTCGATTTTGTAAACTTCCTGCAAAAAACTTCACAAGTGTAATTGCTCTCTTTACGTCTCTTAAACTAACACTGTAAGGTTCTTCAACCTCTCGAATGAATGCTTGAGATTCCAATAATAGTTCTGCAAATACTAAACATTCATTATCAAAATCTTTTAAAGAATTATCTAGTAATAATCCTGACAAGCTCTTCATATTTTTCTTTATATATGAGACCTTATAAGAAAATAATAAATTATGTATTAGTTTACAAATAAGGGTACATTTGGCAGATTCAATTTCAACAAATACCTTTCATGATTTGACCTAACAATCTATGCTAATTCTTTCTTCTGCTTCAAAAATTATTGTCATAAAGATTCAAAAAGTTAGTGTATTATTCTTACAAAGGCTATGTAATAAAATAATAATCGTTATTTAAATACAGTCAGGGATTTTACCAAAAATAGAAATCGATTCTGGAATGTTCTCTTGAGCGATGATTGGCTTACAATCACGCTTTTTGGCTGAAGTTTTTCACCTTTTCGCGATACTTAGTTGTAACTAATACTATATACACAATAGAATAGAGAACCCGTAGTTTTAGGATCAATGAAAGATCAGCCAGAATCAACTCTTTTTAATAAACTAGATGAGACCCGAAAAAACCTTATGATTCTGCTTGAGTTAGCTTAGTTTCTATGTTTCTTTCTCTTTTTTTCTTAGATTAACGTTGAACATTCCTGCAACATCATAAAGCTCTTTAGACTCTACGTGCGTAAGTAGTATATATTGTAGCTTGGCAACTTTTCACTTGCACTAAAATTAGCTTAATCAACTTCGAATATAAATCCGTGATTAAGCTTTAGTTTTTTTTTTTTTTTGTTAAGTTTATTTTATCTTTCTAACGTTTAAGTTTTTTTTTTATTTTTCTAGGTGTGGCAGTTACGACAATAAGATTTAGACGCATTTATGGTTGCCGAATAGATAATATTTCGTTTAATTTAATCAAGTTTTATTGAAAAATATAGACAAAATAATAGGATTGTGTTATCGTTGATATCTCATGTTCGATCAAACAGAATTGAATAATTTTTATACCATTCGATTCGTCTCATTGAGACGAATCGAATGGTATAAAAATTATTCAATTCTGATCAGTATTTGGCGAGTTATCTTCGTATTTGATATTTGTAAAAAAGTAGCTATAATGGGTTATTTATTCTAAGCAAATCGATCTTTATACACCAAATAAAGTTGCTCGCGATACAGATATACGTATAACTTTAAAAATTTGAAAAATTGGATAATTTTTTATTAATGAGAATTCGCTACTACGCTATAATAATTTTTTCATTTTCGAAGGCATAATTTGATTGGCCGATAAACATGTGACATTATGTCATTTAAGCGTGACAGAAATGTCTAGAACCGCTTGATCAACATTTTCATACCATAAATGGTGTGATCGACACTGTCCATATTTGGTAAAATCCCTGACTGAAATAGAACTAACGCTCAATTATTCTTGTATGTATTCTCCGAGTTAATTCATATTTTGTACACCTATATAATACAAGTTTGGCTTTTTAAGAACTTGGCTTAGTAATTTACAACTACCTTCAAAAACCATTAAACTTCTTATAAACCCTTCTAGAATTTTGAATCATAAAAGGAAGCTTTTTCATAAGGCTTGCACGTTTTACTTGAATAATAAATTCAATTGTAAAAATTGGCCAATCAGAAAAAGTCGATCCATATTTAGGCCCCAAAATTTTAGGGTTACGCAGTAATATAAACTTGCTAACTATCTTTTTGACTCAGCACAAATCAAAACAATGTAATGTATCAAGAATATAACCATTATACGCATGCGGACAGACACCAAATACGGAAGTTACAATTTTGATATTACAATTATTGATGCATCAAAAATGTAACTTTTGTATCACCTTACCTAAACATATAAAGTCCTCTGCTACGCTTCGGACAATTAATTTACAGTATTTAGTTGTTACAGTTGATATTCAAAAATATGTTGTATCATAAAAATTATCTATAAACAAAAAAAATAAAATAAAGATGAATTAAAAATGATATATTTGCTATAAACCTGACTTTGTTACATTTATAATGTATCTGTCACAGATGCATTTTCTTGTTATGGCCACACCTAGTCAATCACTTTTTAATTGAGAGTTTACGAACTTGAAAAGGATATTATAGAAGTAAAATCATCGTCCACTTTTTAAGGTGTGGTATTTATAAAGAGACGATCGTTTTTACAGGTTCGTAAAATTCTCCGCAACAACTTAATTTAAAAATGTGAATTCGTCGATTTGTGTGATGCCGGTCTCAATTTAAAAATATAAACCCTACTAAAATCCACATATACTCTTTTATTATAAACTCTAACCCTAAATTATAACCTAACTTAAAAAAAAGCTAAAAAAAATAGATCAAAAAATTTTTAAAATTTTATATGAAAATAATTCAAATTCTCAGCATTATCCGATTCCAAGCTTCACCCCCGACAATTATTATAAAATTTTAGATGCGACAAATTGTGTGCTGTCAACTTGTTGAGTTTTATGCATAGAGAAAAAGACATCAAGATGTATTTTTTGGGTTAATTTGGAATTTAATAGCTAGTTAGATATACTTATCGCTAAACAATATCCAGATCAAAACATAATAAATTGTCCCAAAATTATAATAGTTTTATCAACAAGTATAGAACTAGATAGCATAAATAAATGGTATGACAATATTAATACGTAGTGTAGAGTATTTTGGAATGCGGATACATACGTACGTAAATGATTCTTGATTACGTTTAAGGGTAAAACATTGCGCAAACGCACTGAAGTGTTGCAACATCTTTATGCCTGATGTTAGTTGTCTGACAGGGTTGTAAAATTACCGGTAAGTTACTAAAAATTATACCCTGGTCACTATATCAAGATCGCTGTGTATAAGCGGGGCTGAAAGTCCCGCTTATACCCAACTGCCAACTATTACTTATCAGTTATAGTAAATTACCATGGGGTAAATTACATTGAACCTAGCTGCCGCACCAAAATTTCACGGATGATCCTCGATTTTGATTGGCTAACGGCCGTGATCTACAAAATTTTGGCCCGCATTACATAATTGTTTACATAATTTTTGGCCGGAATTAACTTTTTAACTTTTTCATTCCCAAAATGGAAATTTTTAGAGAAATAGGCCCGCACAATGGTAAAATTAGCCCAGGAATATTTTTCACTTAATGTGCGGCTGTGGTTTCATTAGTAAAATTTTGAGTAACATTGGCCTAAATTATTGATCGTCGCTCTTAGCCAATCAAAATCAAGAGATCGTCGCTCATAGCCAATCAAAATCAAGAATCATCCGTGACAAAATTGGTGCGGCAGCTAGGTTCAATTAAAAGGCTTAGCCTAAAATGGCATGATAAATCTTCAAAAGGTCGTAAGATAAATGGCTTAGCCTAAAATGGCATGATAAATCTTCAAAAGGTCTTAAAGATAAATGGCTTAGCCTAAAATGGCATGATAAAGCTTCAAAAGGTCGTAAGATAAATAACTTAGCCTAAAATGGCATGATAAATCTTCAAAAGGTCGTAAGATAAATGGCTTAGAATAAATGGCATGATAAATCTTCAAAGGTCGTAAGTATATTTTACAGTAATGAGTCATTTTACTATTTTTTATATCTGAAGATTCTTACTTGTTTATTAAGGCGTAATAGCCAAAGCTTAGAAAAAGGTTGGAAGAGAGTAAGGCGGAGTAACTAGAACATAGAAAAGCTTAGTTAGTAGAAAAAATATGAGTAAAGGAAATATGTAAATAGTAGGATGCTTAGCGAATGTATAGTCCTAGTCAAAGGAACTGAGAACAACTTGTACAAGCCTTACTTATTGAAACCGAAAATATAAAAGAGCTGTCTTTTCGCTCTTTGAATAAAGCTTTAGACTTCAATGTCTTTAATATAGGAGTATTAAGTATTGATTTCTCAGTTGTTGTTATAAGTTTATTGTCACTGTGTTATATTTAAAGTTTATTATGGCTCTTGTTAGTTTTTTAATGCTCGATTCCATGTTACTCATTTGATCTTCTTGTTCTGAATTCTGATCCACTTACAGATTTTTATAGCACCAAAAGCTGAAGTAAGATCATCTATATCTGATCTTGTTCTATTTAGTTCTTGAATGTACTCTTAGAAGGGTTTTTCACCATATACTCATTATCTTTGTTGTATTTTATCACCTTTAGAGCCTATTTTTTTAGCATCATTATATGTTTCAGAACATTGTATTTCTACCTTTTCTCTGAATAGTTACCATAGACTCTGCATATGCTATTGTCATTTCTCAATGTTTTTTATATCATTCTTTATCGGTTTTATACAAGCATCAAACCGATTAATGTACACTTTAATAGTATCATTTGATTTTTACTTGATGCTCTTCAGTCATTCTAATTTTTCTTCTTTGTCACAAGATGTATGAGCATCTTTGATGACTGCAGTTTTTAGGTCAGCCCATGTTGTGTTAGTTTTTATTTGTTCATAGATCCAAGATTTTAGATTATTAGTTATATTGAGCCTAATCACTTGTTGCTTCTTATCATCATTCCAATTCTTTGATACACTATATACTCCATAATCTTCAAGAAGCTCTTGAATATCCTCATTATCGTAGCCATATTATATGGGTTTTGTTGAATCAGAGCCTCTCATGTTGCCAAAGATATGTATTACCTTATCACACTAGCCTATTGTTTGTTGTTGAATATTAAGTTAAAAGTTCTAATTAAAAAAAAGTTTTTTTTTTTTATTTAGCTAAAGACAAACTCGGGTTGTACTAATATGTTTCAAGTTAATATGAGAGGGCTTTAGCTTTGCCCAGTTTTTTCTTGTTACAGGTGGTTAACAAAAGGTTAGGTTTGTCTTTTGTAATCTAGCTCTACTTACAACAGCTTTGGGTCCTGTCAACATACACACACAGCGTTAAAAAGCATCTTACTCTGCCTTCAGCTTCACCTTCAACACCACAAATGACTAGCTTCTGAGAAAATGAAAAATCTAGCAAACAGGTACTTTTATTTATTTTTTTTTATTTATCAAAGAGAAAAGAGCATGAGGACTTACTAATCCCCTTACTTTATTTATATAGGTTTTACTTTTATTAAACTACAAATTAATTACTACATTCTTAATGCAAGATAATGCACAAGCTACAATAACTTTCTAATCAATGACACACTAACTAATATAGAGTATTTTTATGATATGTGTATTACAAATAAACTACCTATGCATAAAATCACTGATCTAACCGATTAATGTCTATTACTCTGATCATCGTGGGCACCACGTGACATTGCGACCAAAATTCGAACCTTCATAACCAAGCATTCCTTGAATATAATATACTGGGATTTGGTCATCACCCTGACACTAACTCCAACCCTGTAAAAAAAATTTCCATTATAACTCCATATTTTTTGCAAAAACACTATAAATCTGCAACATGCATGACAAAATCTAAACAGATCGAATAATCTCCATGATTTAAGGTTATAAATACTGTGAATATACAACATTTATGGACAAAACACAGAATATAAAACACGGATTAACTTTTTTTTATAGGGTAATATAACGTTTTCATATATTTTAAAAAGGTTATAATTGGTCGGTCGGTCATTAACCATTGGTTATAACTGCGGTCGGTCGGTCATTAAGCAATAACCGGGCGGTTATTGACTGTGACCGACCATGACCGACCGTTGCCATCCCTAACCTCAAAGCATCTTCACTGGCAAATACAGTAATTGAAAAAAAATTTAGAAAGCTGATCAATTCGAAAAATTACGAAACACTTAGGTGTTAGTATGCTTTCTATAAGTCGCACTTTCAAAGTTAAGGATATATTGGGAAATTTCCGTCCTTTTACCAGGTGTTCCCGAATTTATAAAAGCAGCTGTAATCTGGCATTTCCTGGAGTACGAGAGAGGCCGAGAAATTTTTTAATACAAAATCCGAAAAATTCCATTAAATATTTGGTGTACAGGCTGCTTAGTGACTGTTCTCTATACCAGTTACATCAACTTTTAAGGATTACCTTAAAAACTTTATGAATTCCGTTTGAACCATTGTTACTATTGTTGAGGGAGAGCCCACAAAACTATCGGCAGAGTTTAGCTCCAATAGTTAACTTATATGTTCTTTGTATAGAACTCAAGTAATATAATAACAGATTATAGTAATAACTCAAGCACGTGAAATTACGTAATTAATCGGGGATCGGGGCACTTAATTATATCTACCGGTAATCAATCAATAAATAAATCAAGTTATGTAATCGTAATTAAATAAATCAGTAATTACGATAGTTAATCAGTACAACCGATATTAAGGGTCGATACTTATAAGGTAATAAGGTAATAGAATAATAGGGTACTTAACAAGAAAATGTAGAATACGATCGTTAAGAATCTTAACGGTTAAAATAAGGGAAATAAAATATAAAATAAATACAACAATACTACGGTAACTCATATAACAACAATTCGAGAAATCAATTCTTAATACTCCTATATTAAAGACATTGAAGACTAAAGCTTTATTTGAAGAGCGAAAAGGCAGCTCTTTTATACTTTCGAGTTACATAGAAGGCTTGCTACAAAGTACACTTCTGAAGTCTAGCTCTATACTTTGTTGTTCTAGCGTTATCTTTTCATCCAACCTTAGCCCGTCCAGACCTATACCTTCTAAGCCGATTTTACCATTACATTCCTAAGCTTTTCCAGACCTAAACCCTGGGCTCCACAATAACAAACAAACAAATAAAAAGAATCTATAGATATAAAAATAAACAAAAATGACCAATACAATATTTAT